TTCTTTCCTCCCCCTTAACATAGCTAGCCCAGACAAGATAAAGATTGCTTCATTTCTTATTCAGAATGAGCCCATAGCTGCGGATTACCTAAGGGAGTCATTCCAACCGAGACCAGAATTTCAAGAGAGAATTGATCAGACTAGTGGGTCTGGTGCTCAGAATACATGAAAGTAGAACTCCACCGTAGCACAGCAGAGGGTCTGATCACTGTGAATTGTTAAGTTATCTTCTCAATGATTTGTTGCAACCAATTTCCCTGGAGAAGCAATGAAGTATTGTGCATTACCAAAGTATTGTATATGAAAAAAAAATTAACCACAGGCTATAACTTTCAGTTCTTTGTTTTGAGAAGATATCAGAAGACATACTTTGTTGGACCCTAGAACCATAGTAAAGTGTTTTGGGAGGTCTCTAGCAATACTTTATTGGACTGTAGGATCACAGAGAAGTATAGATTGAGGGACCTTATGATCAAAAGGACATCTCTTAACTTCTCCCACCTTAGGATAAGCTATATCCTCTGACGTAATGGTACAGTGATCACATAACCAATTGGGAGAAGGATGGATACAGAGTACTTAACATCAAAGAAAATCTGTCACTGAATCTGGTTCCTCAAATATATTGTGCTTGGGTGTTACGACCAAGTGGAGAAGGAAGCAGACAAAGGATTTAAGGGATTCCAGAATGTCACAGATGGCCCTCCTGGACATCCAGTCCCACCATGCTTGAATAAGAATCCCCTCTTAAAACATACCAGAAAAGTGACCATTCCAGCCTCCTGAGGCAGTGAATGCTACTTTTGGATAGCTCTAATTGCCACTATCTAACTAGATTTTCCTCATATCAAGCTGAATTCTGGCCTTGCTCAACTTCCACCCCTAATTCCACATTCTGCCTTGTGGAGCCAAGCGGAAAAGCCTAAATCCACCTACCACAAAACAGTCTTTCAAATTTTTGAAGACGGCTACCATATTCCCATCTGGGTCACCCTCCTTTGGATGATCTTCAGCTTAACAATATCTTCCCCAAAATGTGGTACCTAGAATTTAATAAAATACTCCAGATGTGGTCGGACCAGAGGAAAGGACAAATCAGTCAGTCAACAGGCATTTATTAAGAGCATACTTAAGAGCCAGACAAGCTTCCCCAAAACATAGGAAAATCATATGAAAGTCAGCCACATATCCCTTTCTTCTTATTTTTACTTACTTCCCTCCTCTGAACTCTAATAGTAGTCAATTTCTCTTTTTTGGTCCATAAATTTTGCTGCCATGTATTATGAGCTATCTTTTCACGGATTTAAGTTTTATCACCCAATCTAGATTGTAGGTTCCCTGAGGGAAGGGACACTGACTTCTCATTCTTCTCTCTCATAGTCTCTTTTTCAGAGTAGGTGATGATTAAGTAATAACAATCGCTTGAATATTCATTGCTAATATTTTTTGTTTGATTTTTAAAGACAATTAAAGTCAGTTCTCCATGATCTGTACTTGGATTATCCATACCAACTGTTGACTCTCAGACAGGTTTCCTCAAGCTATTCAGGTCCTCTCCCACCAGACTAATGAAGATACCTTTCCAAAAGGCAATTCATTTGAACATTTCTATAAATAATACTTCAGCAAGGTAAGTCTGCTTCCAACAAATCACATAATACATCTTAAAAACAAGCTACAGTGACTTGGGGATTATCCATTGTTCCTTGATTATCTGTGCCACCCATTCTCAATTAGTATAGACTTTCAAAAGTTGACTATACTGTCTTTAGGACCAAAATAAACAGAGAATAGCTACAATAGTGGGGTTAAATGGGGACTCAGTAAGGAGACATCAAGGAAAAATGGAAATACAAATCAGGATTTTAAAAAAAGAGAATGTGGGGCTAGGAGAAAGAAAATCAAGGAAGGAAGAATCCCAGTGGTAAATTTGATTAGACTGGGGAATAATAATCTTTCAGGGAAAACATTGGAAGACTGAGACATTTAAGAAATGACTAGAACAATGCACTGGGAAAAACTACCAAAGGGAACAATTAAGCTTCTGGAAATCTCCCCTCGCCCCAGTCCCCATTCAGACAAAGACACAAAAAGAAATGCAGAAGATGACACAAGATAACTTTCCAATCTTTGATTGCTATGCTACATTGAAATGGCAAAAGTAAGGGACTGGATGAAGCTCTTTGTATAGACTGGCCCTCAGCCACTGGAACCTCTTGAAGTTCAGAGTTTTAGCAGTAGTAGGATGCATCAGAAGACTAGGGAATAACTTTCCACTGAACCTGGGGAGGTTTAGGCTACATCTCATCACATTTGTATTTGTTTGAAAACAAATTTCCTCCTGCCAGGTAATCCAAGGTTTGATCTGGGTGTTGGGAAATCTTGGTTGATGCTCTGCCAGTTAAAGAGGTGTTTTGATTACAGGAAGAGATAATGGAGTGATATCAAAATGAGCTCATCTGTGAAATGACAGAGTTATTGCACAGATTTCTTTTTCTCCTCCAAGAAAGCATCCTCTTAACTACTGCACAGGAGGGGAGTGAGAATGACAATCCTGCTCATCTATGGAAATTGCCAAAGAGAAATATGGGAAGAAGAGACTATTGAGCTGGGGAGTAGGAGATATGAGGAGGGGAAAGGAAGAATTTAAACATATCTCACTGCTTTAGGGAGGTCAACATTTAAATTAAGTTTACAACAAGTGTAAAAATCTTATCAACTGAACTTACAATGTCTTGCCAACATTCTTTCCCCTCAGGATTCAGACAAGGTATAAAATCAATCAAATCAGTGTTCCTTCCCAGCTAGGAAGCCAAATTTGTGTCTTACTTTGTCATCTTAGGTGCATTGCCACATTTTCTTGCAAATTGAACAATTTATGAGAGATTCAGGGAGACTGTTCTTACCCAACACCTTAGAGTCATGTTCAGGGCCACTGTTTTCTAGGAAGTCTTTGTTATCACAAGCTTTTGGAAGGAAGAAAGAAATCACTTTAAAGGCTTGGCCACAATCTGACCTCCTACCTAGAGATGGGATTCTCTGTTGCTTCCCAGCCGATTGTGTCATATTTATATGTGTCCTGAAATAGCTGCTGTGTTTCACTCGGAAAGAGGGTAAACTGATCTCTCTGTATCCCTTACCTAGATATCTTGTGGGGGTGTTTGGAGGATTAATTAATTAGTATTTGGAAAGTGGTTTGATACGAATAAAAAGCCCTTCAGTAAGGTTTTCTTCAATGGATGCTTCTAAGAACTGGGTGTTTCTGCTTTCTTATGACCAAATATTTCATTAACATAGTAATGGCTCACATTTTTAGTGCAGGACATTGTTTACAAAGCACATGGTCTTCAAGTATTTATACCATTCAAAGGAAGAAGTCATGCAATAGTAGTCAAAGTGCAATGTTTGATACGGGAAACACCACCTAGAAGTCCTGATAACTGGTCATCCTAGCAGCTGGGCCTGTCTCAGTCAAAAGCAGGATCTACCTGCAGGCTTTTGACCTCTCTCTAACTAGGGTTAACATCTATGGGCTCAGGACTGCCTATATCCACCAGAGCAGATAAAATATGGAAGACTGGGACTACTGCTTCCCTAGTCCTGGACACTACGCCTCTCTCATATCTACCTGAGATTGCATTAGATTTTCTGGCTTCCTTTGTACAATGTTGATTCATATGTCACTTGTGACCCAATAAAGCAATCATATTTTTTTAAAAATAAATGCTATCTGACTTAGCCTCCTCCATCTTGTAGGTAGGAGGTCAATTTTCCAAGCCTGGGGGTAAGACTTTATATTTATCTCTATTATATTTCCAGTGTTCTAGCCTTTCAAGATCCTCTTGAATCCTGACTCTATCATACTCATTGATAAAAAATGTTAAATATGCAGGTTCAAGCACAAATTTCTAGGACATTCCACTAGGGATCTTCTTCTAACTTTGACTCGAAGTATTCATGCTTGCTCTTTGCATCTGGCCATTCAACCAGTGCCAAATGCACCTGTACTATCATTCTAGCCACAAGATTAGAAATGAAAAATTTTGACAAATAATTTACTAAAATAGGGTAAACTGGAGCTATAACACTTTCTTGTTTAGTTTCCCTGTCAACAAAGGAAATAAGGAAAGACTGGCATAACATTCTGCATGAAGCAAAGTTGTAGCTAGGTTTGAATCTTGGCTCTGCTATGTCTTGTGTGATGGTGGACAAGTCTTAAATCTCTCTGGGCCTCGTCTATAAGTTAAAGGAAGACTAGATGACTTCTATGATCCTTTCTACATTCACTGGTCTACAACCTACTTCTGTGATGTAAGTCTGGCTCCTAGGTACCATGGAGGAATTTAAAAAGAAAAAAAATCCATCATTTAAGCAAGAAATGATATTATAATTCACAAGCAGAATGCCCTCTCCTTCCTATTGCTGTCAACCAAAACTAATTAATGTCAACCAAAATGCTGGTTCTTGTTTAACCATCTCTTTAAAATGGCTAAATAAATAGTACAGCTGTGAATATGAAGATTTTAACTCTGGTGTAGTATAACAAAATCTTTATGTGGCTGAGAAAAGAGTGTTTCTTCTAAGGTAAGTACCAGCAAAATCTTAAAGAGACACTGGAAGTACATAATGCCAAATGTCACAACCCATAAGAAAAATTAATTTACTCTTAGGCATCTCACTAGGCAGCTGGGTGATGCAGGGAATAGAATGCTGGACCTGGAGTCAGGAAGACCTGAGTTTACATTTGGCTTCAGACGTTTTCTAGCAGTGTGACCCTGGGCAAGTCATTTGTTTTTCTCTACCTCTGTTTCCTCATTCATAAAATATGGAAAATAATGGCACCTACCACCAGGAGTTGTTGTGAGTATAAAATGAGATCATATTGCACTTCACAAGCAATAAAGTATTATACAAGTGCTAGCTATTGTTTTTATTATTATTATTATTATTATTTATTATACAAAATCATTCAAATAGACCAGTTATGATACTTTCATGGAAGTTACAAATCAGTCCATATGCTTCTTCATCCCTCAGACATAAGATTCAATTTGTGATCTTTAAAGCGCTTCTTTTCCTCTATCTAAGGCTAGTTTGCCCAGCTTCGATCTCAGTGCTTGGCACTCTTAAACATCATTTTATTCAATAAAAGGGACACCCTCTCCCTCCCCCAGGAGGAAAGTACTTTTCAGAAGCAATTCAATTTAACTAAACACTGTTGCTTGTTCCTAACAATACACTGGGAATTAATGTCCTCCTTTGCTCCAGGGACTAAATCAAAGCCCCAAGCTCCCAAGCAAAGACAATGTAAAGGGAGTGGTGGAGACTGGAGGTAAGTGATTGGGGCAAAGGAGGAAATGATTATACCTCATTTGTGCACCTCAGTTAAAATTAGGTTTCTATTGCATCAGATTAATCAGAGAAGAGTTCATGGTTAACCCTTGTCCCACACTGTCTAGACATAGGACATGCATGTCTACTTTCTAACTCCAAATTATGCCCTATGTACTTGACCTATGTATTCTAGAGTGTAAATACCGGGCCCTGCTTTTTCAAGGGTCAGTTTTCTGGCCATCTCAACTCTCTGGGTTGACTAGGAAACAAGGAGGAAAGTATCTAAGCACCCATGATAGTTGTCGTTAAGTTTGGGCATATTCCCTACTAGACATTAGGCCTTTACACAGAAGTTTATTGGCTGTGATTTACTGCATCGTGCTTAGCAAGCTTTGTCATCTGGTTTCCCAGGCCACAGCAGGTTATAAGCAGCAAATTAGGTGGAGGTGGGGAAGACCTGTCAGGGGCAAGAAAAATGATAGTAAGAGAAACAACAGCTAACAGTCTGACGTGGAGGAAGAAGACAGAAGAAGGAAAAAAAGTTGACCTGTCATAGAATAATAGTAATAAGCATTTATACAGCATTTTACAGTTTGCAAAGTGTTTTATATATATTATCTCACTTGATCCTCACAACAACTCTGTAAGATGGGTGCTACCATCTTCATTTTACAGATGATGCTCAAGAAAATTTCAATGACTAGGTTGGGATCACACAACTAGTAAATGTCTTGAGCTCAGGTATTCCTCATTCCAAGTCCAAATCATATCCACTGTTCCACTTAGCTGCCCAGTAAAGGATGTTCACAGTGATAACCCTGAATCCTCTTGGTGCAGTGGAAAGAACAATGGATTTGGAATCAGAACACTTGGGTTTGAATCCTTGTCCACTACTTATTACCACTATAAACTTCGCCAAGGCACCACATTCCTGGGGTTAAGTATCCACCTATGTAAGTTCAGGGGGTTAGACAAAATGACCTCTGAGCTCCCTTCAGGATCTAAATTGATGAACCTGTGTTCTTAAGAAAAGGTTAGATTTTATTCAGTGACCTGTGTTTCAGAAGGTGGGGAAGTACAATGGATCTCGTAAAGGTTTCTTTCCAATATTGTTAAAATATATGGTTAAGGTTTAAAATAAAATACATGGAAAAATTTCTTCCCGATATATAAAATAAAATATGTTAAAATAAAGTGAGACAATTAGAGGGACATAGCTTCAGCAATTAGGAAAACTCACATATGTAGAACACCTCATTCTTCAATGGTGCAGGACAATGAGCCATTTCTACTATATTTAACGGACTAGAATAATTCAGGGGTTGGGAACCTGAGGCCTGGAGGCCACATGTGGCCTTCTAGCTCCTTTTATTAAGGCGATTTGGTCTGTGAAGTTTGGATTCACGTGTGGCTTCAAGGCCATAGGTTCCCCACCCCTGGACTAGATATATTAGTTTAATGTCCTATTTTATATGGCTCATATAAACATTGTTTTAGACAGAAAACTTTTAGAAAGTAGGTATCATGTCTATACTGAACCTAGCATTCATACAATTGGTATAAGTACATTTTTGTCATTTTTTTGGTCCAGACCCATAATTTAATTGGTAAAGGGAACTCTCTGGTGATGAAACTCCCTCCAATCTCTACAACTTCTCAACTTGCAGAGTTGTTGACTGTGCTGACTTACACAGGGTCACATAGCCCATATAGGTCAGAGTTGAGATCTGAGGCCAGATCTTACTGACTCCAAAGCCAGCTCTCACTATGCCACATAGCTGCCCCGGGCTTAATTAGGCATGACAAGGTATTTGATATATGCAGGATGGTGCTGCTACTTGAGCTGATGACAGGTTTACTGATGGGTCAACATCAGTGGCTGAATAATGGGAGATCAAAGTTACTATTTCTACTTCTCCTGTCTGCTCTGTATTATTTTGTTTTATTTGGGGCTCTGATTGATGGACTGATCACTGAATGTCAAGCTTTAGTCCAGCATCATCATCTGCCTGTTAGATATTAGCCTGAAGTTGCCCAATTCAACAAATCTAAAACCTTACTTACTACCTTTCACCCTAAAAAAATGACCACTTTTCACACACTTTACTACTCATTAATCTCACCCATGACATTCCATCTTCTCTATCCATGCTTTTGCATGGGCTTTTAACATCCCTGGAATGCTCTCCCTCCATACTCCTACCTCTTGGAATCACTAGCACCCTTCAAGGATCAGCCTGACTCATCCTTCCACATGAGGACCTTCCTGCCTTCTACTCTCTTTACCTCTAGTGCTCTCCTCTTATCTCCATTCGTGATTGTTTTCCAGCTGCCTTCTCCTCTAGCCATAGAATGTAAGATCCTTGAAGTCTGGTGCTTTTTTTTTTAATCTTTTTATCCCTAGCATCATGTACAGGTCTTAGCACATAGTAGGTGCTTTAAAATGCCTGTTGAAATGAAGCAGTAGAAAGATTTCTATAAGTCAGTGAAAATTACTAGCATATTTAAAAACCTTGCTAATGAAGGCTCAGTTAGGAAACAAGAGTTTCAGGACTTGATTCCTTTAACTCACTTTGTGGTTTGGATATATTTCACCTTAGCCAGCCTCAGTCTACCAATTTCCAAATTGACCATAACCACACTTTTAATGTGGTTTAAATACTGAAATGAGATAAACATATATAAAGTGCTGAGAGAAGTTCAATTCAATCAGGAACCATATTCACACAATATTAAAATCATCAGGCTTCAGTGATGAGAATCTGAGAGGTGAAGAGAGACACCGCTATCCTGCAGCAGCGCCCACAGACGCCTCCCTGGCTGGATATGCCTTCTCAGGAAGAATGCGTCCATCTTGGTTGGCAGCTCTCAAAGCTGTATCTCCACTACTGTCCTCCCACTCAAGTGCCAATTGCCTATCCCCAACTGCCTGCTAGACCATTGCTTCAAAATTCAAAAGTCTGAAGCAAAATGAAATGTCTTCCCAACCAAAATGCCTCCTCAATCTTCATATCTCTATCCACAGTACTTAATTCTCTCAGTCTCTTAGGCTCAAAACTTTGGAACAATCATCCTCTCCCTTAATCCCCATATCTACTTAGTTCATTTCTCTATCAAATGCCTCTTATCTGAACCTTCCTCTCCATCTCCACCACCCCTACTCTAGTTCAGACTATTATTATGTCATACCTATGACCTCCAACAGCACGCTTCCAATTTCTCCTTCATCCAGTCCACCCGAATACTGCTGGCAGATTAATCTTCCTTAAACACTGACTTCATCACATCATTCCTCAGCCTGAAATTTTAAATGCTCCCCCCTACCCCTTTAATTTTTTGGCTTATGATTTCAGGGCAGGGAAACTCTCCATGTAGACTCTCTCTCCTGGTATGGAAACTCCTCCTCTGATGCTGATTTGCAACTCAGCTGCTATAGTTCTAGAAAATTCTGATGCAATTTCCTTCACTTCCATATTGTTCATGAACCCCATAATTTCTGAGAATTACATCATCAAAGTAAGCCTATACCAGCCCTTTCCCAAGGAACTGTTGATTTCATTTAACATTGTTAAAATAGCTTCAGTCTTCTTGTTAAAATAATAAAAATAAAATAATCCTACCTAAGGCAGGACTGGGACAGAAATTCTGTAGACATTGACAAAATGCTGGTCAAGCTTCACAAACCAGGCCCAAATGCTTCCACTGAATATCTATCCTACCTGGAAAAAAATAAATCCTGAGTCCACTGGTCTAAAAATGGCCTAAATGAAGTAGTCAGTGCCAAGCATACAGCCCCTACCTGGGAAGCTGAAACTGTATTGAGAGAATTAGCTAACTGTGAGTTATAAAAAGTTAGAATCCTCACCAATGTGACGTAGGTGGTATTGAATTGAAAGCTAGCAAGTGAAATCTGATGAAGAATTGGAGAACACGCTCACCAAGCCATGAGATTACAGCAAGGATTGGTTCCACAGAACTTTGAAAAAATGATGTGTGCCATACTTTGCAAAAACAGAGCTTTGCTTCAGAGAAATGTGTCTTTCCCTGATTGGAAGGGGAATTGGAAGGTGATCATCACTGTGAGCAGAAAAATACTGCAAAAAGGCTTCATAGCAGAGCAAAAGAAGTGCCAAAATCGGTGTGTTGGAAGAACTGGTTTCGAGACCTGATCCGTTACTTGTCATCAGTATGACCACAGTCAACTCAACAATTTAATTCAACAATGATTAATTACCTACTGTGCATAAAGCTCTGTCTTAAGGTCTAGGGATAGTAATGAATGAATGAAAATGCATTTATTATGAACTACATACATGCCAAGCATTGTGCTAAAACAAAAAGAACAGTCACTGCCCTCAAAGAGCTTACATCAAGTCACTTATAGGTGAAAGGGGAACAATAATACTTAAATTAGCCACTTTCCAGAATTATTCCAAGGAAAGTGCTTTATAGATTATAAAGTGATACGTAACCCTAGGCGATTATAACTTTTATACACATCATAGGCAGATTCTGCAGCATCTTTTCCAAATTGTTTTGGTTTTGGGGTAAGCTGCTTATCAGTTGTGCAAAAACAACAACAACAACAACAAATTTCAGAAAGCTGAATGCTCCATTCATATGGCATAAATTCTCAGGGCTTCAGTAAAGGGAACTTCTAAAAAACAAAACAGAGCAAATGAAACAACAGAATACTGACCTATGTTCAAAGGCAGGAGTTCCCTCCTATATTCCATGGAATGGATCAGTATCTGTAGACCTCACCTCAAAGAAAAACTGCCAGGAGATTATCCAATTGCCTTAGGAGGATAAATAATGGGAAATACCAGTGTTGTGTCATCTGCCTTCTCACTAGGTACTTCCTCAATCAATCATTCCACATCAGAGTTAGTTTCCTAGTATTATGTTGGAAATACTCCAAGCCTTGATGTTTTAGAAGCAGAGATTTTAGCACAAGCAACGCTGGTAGCTCCTTTTTTTCCCTGTGTATTTCTACAGCCAGAATAGGCAGTTGGATGAATATTTCGGTTTAGCACAAACACTACAAAGCAGTGTGGGATGACAAGATGATAATCTCTTTTGTCTTCCATTATTGTCCAGACCACTGAATGTACTACTTGGTGGTATTTGCCCCAAATGTTTAGACAATTCAGACAGTATAAACACCTCCAAGATGTTGCCCTTGCCAAGATAATCCTGCAGAAATATATTTTGAAAGCCATTTGAAACTCCTCACAATGATTCATTTGCCAGTGTGGATGTGGCCCATGAGACCAAGACAGATCTTTAAAGTCTAAATGCATACCAATTATGTTTTATTATCGTATTTTCATTTTTCTAAAAATGTGTATCTTTTTTTCCTTTTCGAAGTTGTTATTTTTCCCCTTTATCTTTCATGAACCTGGGGCAGCATATGAAATTACAATAAATCTCCACTGAAGAAATTCTTTACTAACT